ACTGGATCCGCGCGGCTCGTCTCCAACTCAGGGAGAGCTTTGGCTCGGACTTTCCTGTTCTGCGTCTGCACTCTGACAGAGGCGGAGAGTTCTCCTCTGGCCTTCTACGAGCACACTGTCGTGCACGAGGCATCCGCCAGACCTTCACGCTTCCAGACTCTCCACAACAAAATGGGATTGCTGAGCGCCGCAATGGAATGGTCATGGACGTCGCCCGTACGTCCATGATGCATGCGGCTGCCCCCCATTTTCTGTGGCCGTTTGCGGTTCGGTACGTGGGGCATCAGCTCAACCTTCACCCCAGGGTCTCCAGGCCGGAGACCTCCCCAGCCTTGCTGTGGACGGGGAAGGTTGGCGATGCGTCTGCGTTCCGTGTCTGGGGATCTCGGGCGTTTGTTCGCGACTTGTCTGCGGACAAGCTGTCCCCTCGTGCTGCTCCTTGCGTCTTCCTAGGTTTCCCCCCTAACGCGCCAGGGTGGCAATTCTACCACCCCACCTCTCACCATGTTCTGTCCTCCCAGGACGTCACGTTTGACGAGTCGGTCCGCTACTACCGCCTTTTCCCCTACCGCACTCCGTCCCTCCCCCCACCGTTGCTCTTCCTTGTACCAGGTCCCCTCCCGGTAGACCCCCTTCCCTTTCAGGGTTCGTCCCCTTCAGGTGTGTCCCAGGTAGACGCAGTTGAGCCTATTGAGGTCTCTCGTGACTCTGGTGCTGCTGAGGGTGCTGCTGGGGGTGCTGAGCCTGGGGGTGCTGAGTCTAGGGGTGCTGAGCCTGAGGGTGCTGAGTCTGGGGGTGCTGAGTCTGGGGGTGCTGAGCCTGGGGGTGCTGAGCCTGGGGGTGCTGAGCCTGGGGGTGCTGAGTCTGGGGGTGCTGAGCCTGGGGGTGCTGAGCCTGAGGGTGCTACGCCTGGGGATGCTGAGCCTGGGGGTGCTACGCCTGGAGGTGCTGAGCCTGGGGGTGCGGCGCCTGAGGGAGCTGAGCCTACTGGTGCTGTGTTTCGCGGTTCTCCGGGTACTTCGTCTCGCCAGGAGCCACTCTCTCCAGCGGAGCTGCGTGAGTGGTTTGCTCGGCGCTGGAGGCAAGCTACTGTGGCCGTTAACTTGTGCTCAGAATGTGTGGTGACTTTGAGATCCACCATGAGCTTGTTTTGCTTTGCTTTGCTTTACTGGTCTTGTGACCCCTTGTTCTCCCCCACTTTGCCTATGGGGGTGTGTCAGAACATTGTAGCTTATAGTGAGGTATCCCATGGGGGGTACAACCCAATCAGGGTTAGTTCTTGTACCCACTTCTTTCATAGTTCATTCATTCTCGTTTCTTCTCACACACTTTGAAACACGCATCCCACAAACACGAATGCAAACGCACGTAAAACCCCACAGTGAAACAAACACAATGACAAGACATGAACACACACCCGCACAAACACACCCGCACCGCATACACATACATACACAAATAGGATTGAGAGCAGACAAGCATAACAAAGAGTTGCAATAAGTTAATTATGTATCAATCACTACTACCTTGTCCCCCCCTTACTCCCCCTTTCTGCCTTCCTTCCTCTCCCTCAACCATCGAAATCTCCTCCCACCCTTCCACATTGTCTTCTCTCTCTCGATCCCTCCCTGCTCCCCACAACGCGTCTCGCACACCTTGCAAAACAATCAGGTCAAGCAGAAAATGAATTGTAGTCGGAAAACGGAGTGAACTATTCAATGACGAACACGCACTTGATTGTGAAATGGAACTGATAAGTACAAAAGAAAACCGAATTCGACGACTCACAAGCGTGGTTTGAACCATAGATTCCCTGGGGTCACGCACACCACGCTGGTGTGCAGCAAGGCTCCAGCGAGCAAGGTGACTTGGTGCAACGAGCTGGGCATCGCCATGCTACAAGGTGCCAGAGATTTGCAGCAAGGCACTGGCAGAGGAGCAAGCAGGTTGCCGTAACAAGGCATGAGCTCACTGCAGCAAGGCGTGAGCTCGCTGCAGCAACTCGTGAGCTCACTGCAGCAAGGCGCGAGCTTGCTGTAGCAAGGCGTGAGCTCACTGCAGCAACGCGTGAGCTCACTGCATCAAGGTTGGAGCTCACTGCAACAAGGTTGGAGCTCACTGCAGCAAGGCGTGAGCTCACTGCAGCAAGGCGTGAGTTAACTGCAGCAACGCGTCAGCTCGCTGCAGCAATGCGTCAGCTCGCTGCAGCAACGCGTCAGCTCACTGCAGCAACACGTGACCTCGCTGCAGCAAGGCGTGAGCTCGCTGCAGCAAGGCGTGAGCTCACTGTGTTAAAATGTAGTAGCAAGAATGGATGAACTATGAAAGAGTTGGGTACAAAATGTGAAACCCTAATGGGGTTGTACCCCATCTTGGCTATCCCACTACAGCCTACACATATATGACATACATATAATTGTCAAACTTATATGCTCTAGTCTGTGTAGGCGGTAGTGGGGTAGATGATATGGGGTACAACACTTTTAGGTTTTCCTACTTGTACCCGCCTGTTTCCTAGTGCATTCATTCCTCGTTCTTTCACATGGTATAGAGCTGTCAGAACATATAGCTTACTTGTTTGTGTAGGCTATAGTGGGGTATCCCATAGGGGGTACAACACATTAGGGTTTCCTATTTGTATTCACTTCACTTCATAGTCATTCATTCTCGTTCTTTGTTTTCACATGGAATCAGAGCAGGTTCCCTCCTAGGGACTGCTTCTAGGGCCCACCGAACCGCGCCCCGAGGCACGTTTTTTTTTAGCGACCCGTCGTGTCGCCCCTAGCGGCCCGTTGCGCCGCCCTTCCCCTAGCGGCTCCGCCGCCCTTCCCTACCGGCCCCGCCGCCCTTCGATCGCGGCCCCGCCGCCCTCTGCTACGCGGCCCCACCGCCGCCCTTCGATCGCGGCCCCGCCGCCCTCGGCTACGCGGCCCCGCCGCCCTCTGCCACGCGGCCCCGCCGCCCTCTGATACGCGGCCCCGCCGCCCTTCGATTGCGGTCCCGCCGCCCTCTACTACGCGGCCCCGCCGCCCTCTGCTACGCGGCCCCGCCGCCCTCTACTACGCGGCCCCGCCGCCCTCTGCTACGCGGCCCCGCCGCCCTCTGCTACGCGGCCCCGCCGCCCTTCGATCGCGGCCCCGCCGCCCTCTGCTACGCGGCCCCGCCGCCCTCTGCTACGCGGCCCCGCCGCCCTCTGCTACGCGGCCCCGCCGCCCTCTTCGGTCGCGGCCCCGCCGCCCTCTGCTACGCGGCCCCGCCGCCCTCTGCTACGCGGCCCCGCCGAGCCGCCCAGCATCAGCCGAGCCGCCCAGCAGCAGCCGAGCCGCCGCCGAGCCGCCGCCGCCTGAGCCGCCGCCCGGGCCACCTGAGCCGCCGCCCGAGCTGCCGCTGAGCTGCGGCCGAGCCGCTGCCCGAGCAGCCCGAGCCGCCCGTGCCGCCCGAGCCGCCCAAGCCGCCCGAGCCGCCCGAGCCGCCCGAGCCGCCCGAGCCGCCCGAGCCGCCCGAGCCGCCTGAGGAGCCGTGCTGCTGTTCCTGAGCTGTGTTCCTCTGCTGCTGACCTACCCGACTCTCCCAGCCCGGTGAGACTTTCAGCTGCTGCCATGGCCACCCCCAATGTTCTTACTTTTGACGCTGAGGGGAGGGCCATTGACTTTGCCGTCTGGATTGAAGACCTGCAGCTGTACTTACTGTGTGATGCGATAGATGAGGTCTCTCTCTTTGACTTTGTCTCTGGCGCTGTCCCTGCCCCACCTGCTGATGCTGACTCTGCCGTTCGCTCCAAGTGGGCGACCCGCGATGCTGCTGCACGTCTTGCTGTGCGTCGCCACCTCCCTTCCTCTGAGCGTGCCCACTTTAGTCAGTGCAAGACCGCTCAGGCCTTGTACGACGCTGTAGTTGCACGCTACTCCTCCCCTTCCTCCGCTACCCTTAGCCGCCTCATGCTACCGTTTCTCTTCCCTGACCTCGCTTCCTTTCCCTCTGTCGCTGACCTCGTTACCCACCTCCGTGCTAGTGACACCCGCTACCGCGCTGCCCTTCCTGCTGAGTTCCGCGCTGCGAACCCTCCTTCCATGTACATCACTCTCTACTTTCTCGTCACCCGTCTCCCTGAGTCCCTTCGTGTCGTTAGGGACCAGTTTCTCTCTGTCTGTCCCACCACTCTCACTGTCGACCTCCTTGAGGAGTCCCTGCTAGCGGCTGAGAAGAGTATTGTCGCTGTAGGGGCCTCTCCGGGTGACCCTCGCACCCCCATCTTTGAGGGGTGTGGTCCTTCCCCCCTGCTGCCCTCTGTCGCCTCTGCCGCTGCGGCCGACCTCACTGGTTTTGAGTCGGTCGGCGCGGCGTCTGCCCCCAGCGGCAGACGCCGCTCTGGCAAGGGCAAGGGGGGCAAGGGAGCGGGTGGAGCTAGAGGGGGCGGTGGAGGAGGCGGTGGGGGTGGCGGGGGGAGTGGGGGTGGCGGTGGGGGTGGTGGCGGGAGTGGAGGTACTGGTGGCGGCGGTGGAGGCGGAGGTGGCGGCGGAGGTGGTAGCGGAGGAGGCGGTGGGAGCGGTGGGAGCGACGGTCCTGGTGGGGGAGGTGGAGGTGGAGACGGGGGTGGCGGTGGAGGCGGGGGTGGCGGTGGAGGCGGGGGTCGGAGTGGCTCGTCCCAGCGGAGCAGCTCTGGGGGTGGTCAGCGCCAGCAGCAGCAGCAGCAGCAGCCGCAGCAGCACCCACAGCAGCAGCAGCGCTCTCGCACCGTCCCCGCCCCTCAGCAGCTCCGTGAGTGGTACTCGCAGCGTCAGCGTGGTGGTGCGCTTGGTCCTTGCCCCTACGTCCTTCGCACCGGTGACCGTGCAGGGGAGAGGTGTGGAGGCGCCCACACAGCCCGCCGCTGCTTTGGCCGCCTGACTGACGCCTGGCGTCAGCAGTTTCCGGAGGCAGCTGAGATCCCCCGCTGGGGAGAGCTGTCTAGGGCTGGTGTAGCTATTTATGATCTTGATTTTGATGATATTCTCTCTGCTATGTATGCTGCGATTGGTAGTGATGAGGATGACTGTTACCGGTGTTTCCCGCCCGACCCGGGCATTGGTACTGCCGCGTCAGGTACTAGTGAGGCTGCTGCTCTAGGTGCCAGTGCGTCTGTGCTCTCAGGTGCTGGTGAGTCTGCCCTCTCAGGTACTGTGTCGGCTTCGGCCTCTCACACCTTCACCCTTGACTCTGGAGCGTCTCGCTCCTTCTTTAGGGACCGCACCACTCTCACGCCGCTGAGTCGGCCGGTTGCGGTGTCCCTGGCTGACCCCTCTGGGGGGCCTGTCCTGTCTCGCTTCTCCACTTTCCTCCCGTGTCCGGCGGCCCCCTCTGGCACCCTGACTGGTCTTTACCTCCCCTCGTTCTCGACGAACTTGGTGAGTGGTGCTGACCTCCAGGATGCGGGTGTCCACCAGTTCACCCCTGCTCGTCAGCGGGTGACCCACTGCACGGAGGCGGATACAGGTCGCCACCTGGCTACGTTTACACGTCGGCCAGGGTCGAGCCTGTACACACTGACCACTGCTTCTCCTCCAGGTGCTGAGTCTGGTCAGGTGTTTGCTGCAGCGTCCAGGTCTGGTCCTGAGTCTGCCCCCTGCTCGTGCCGTCGTCTGTCTCACGAGACCCTCCTCTGGCACCACCGCCTTGGCCACCCCTCTCTACTTCGGCTCAGAGGCATGGCCTCGCGAGTCCTTGTGTCTGGTCTTCCCCGGTCTCTCCCTCCCCTTCCTCCGGGCCCTGGCCCCACCTGTGTCCCCTGTGTCGAGGGGCGCCAGCGTGCTGCCCCTCACTCCTCCCAGTTTCCTCCGACAGAGGCCCCGTTGCAGACGCTTCACATGGACGTGTGGGGCCCAGCCCGCGTCCGTGGACAGGGTCAGGAGCGCTACTTCCTGCTGGTGGTTGACGACTACTCGCGTTACACCACAGTCTTCCCCTTGCGCAGCAAGGGTGAGGTCACTGAGGTGCTGATCGATTGGCTCCGCGCAGCTCGTCTCCAGCTTCGGAGGAGCTTTGGCTCTGACTTCCCTGTTTTGCGTCTGCACTCGGACAGAGGCGGAGAGTTCTCCTCTGGCCTCCTGAGTGCCTACTGTCGTGCGCGAGGCATCTGTCAGACCTTCACGCTTCCGGACTCACCGCAGCAGAATGGGATTGCTGAGCGCCGCATTGGCATGGTCATGGACGTCGCTCGTACGTCCATGATGCATGCGGCTGCTCCCCATTTTCTGTGGCCGTTTGCGGTCAGTTACGCTGCGCACCAGATCAACCTCCACCCCAGGGTCTCTCGACCGGAGACCTCCCCAGCCCTGCTGTGGACGGGGAAGGTTGGCGATGCGTCGGCGTTCCGGGTCTGGGGATCTCGGGCGTTTGTTCGCGACCTGTCTGCGGACAAGCTGTCCCCTCGTGCTTCTCCCTGCGTCTTCCTTGGGTTCCCCCCCGACGCCCCTGGGTGGCAGTTTTACCACCCCTCCTCTCGACGTGTTCTGTCCTCCCAGGACGTCACGTTCGACGAGTCGGTACCCTACTACCGCCTCTTCCCCTACCGCACTCCGTCCCTCCCCCCGCCCCCGCTCTTCTTGGTACCAGGTCCCCCCCCGGTAGTCCCCCTCCCCCCTCAGGGTCCTGCCCCTTCAGGTGTGTCCCAGGTAGACGCGGTCGAGCCTGTCGAGGTCACTGGTGACTCTGGTGCTGCTGCGGGAGCTGAGCCTGGGGGTGCGGAGTCTGGGGGTGCTGAGCCTGGAGGTGCCGAGTCTGGGGGTGCTGAGCCTGGGGGTGCTGAGCCTGGAGGTGCCGAGTCTGGGGGTGCTGTGCCTGGGGGTGCTGAGCCTGGAGGTGCTGAGCCTGGGGGTGCTGAGCTTGGGGGTGCTGAGCCTGGGGGTGCTGTGCCTGGGGGTGCTGTGTCTAGGGGTGCTGAGCCTGGAGGTGCTGTGCCTGGGGGTGCTTCGTCTCGCCGGGAGCCACTCTCCCCACAGGAGCTGCGTGAGTGGTTTGCCAGGCGCTGGAGGCGTGCTGCTGGTGCTGGTGGTTCTTCGGCTGCAGAGGGTACTGCTGCTGCGCGCCCCGCTTGTGCTCGTACTGTGGGTGCTGGAGCTGCTGAGTCTGAGAGTTCTCCTGGAGCAGGTCCTGCTGAGGGGGTTGGCGCTGAGCCTGCCGTTGGCGGTCCGACTGACAGTGCTCCTGGTGCTGCGGCTGGAGGTTCTGGAGCTTCTGGTGGTGCTGCTGGAGGTGCTGCTGGAGTGGGTGCACCTGCCGGGGCTGCTGGTGCTGTTCCTGCTGTTTCTAGCGTCGCCGCGCGGCCTCGACCGTACTTCGTTCCGCTCCTGCAGCAGGTTCTTGGTCTTACACCTCCTCCTCCTCCCTTAGAGGGTCCGCAGCCTGTCCGGTCACAGCCACAGCTACAGCCTGCCTCCCCTTTGCCTGCTCCTTCTCCCTACGCTGGTCCGACTGGAGGTCTTACTGAGCGTCGTGAGCCTGCGTCTCGTCCTGTGTCGCCTGTTCGTACTGAGCGCGCTAGTGGTCGCGGGTCGCGTCAGCGTCCTCCTCCTGTCCCTGGCACACACCGGATGTCACTGCGTCCGTCCACTGCTCCTCTGCGTGCCCCTTTGCCTTCTCCTCCTGCTTCCTCTCTTCCTGCTCTTGCCGACCCGGAGTCGGACTCTCTTCGTGCTGCCAGTCCTACTGTCACGCGTCTCCTGGCTACTGCTGTCACTGACCCCTCCTTCGAGTCGTCTGCTGCGTCTGCCCTTGTCGCTGAGCTTGTCGACTTTGCTGCGCGCTGTCGTCTAGACTACGCTGCTCGTCTTGTCACTGAGTCTGAGTCCGCCTGTCCTCCGTCCGTCGGGGGTGAGTGTGCCCTTGGCACGGACGTCCTTGAGGACAGGCAGGAGGAGTTCCAGTGTCTGGCCGCCGCTTCACCTCGTCTCGCGTCTGTACTGCTAGCCCCTGAGGGAGACCCGGATGCACCAGACATCCCGACTCCGCGCTCTTACGTGGAGGCGATAGAGGGTCCCTACTCCTCTCAGTGGCAGGCAGCTATGGATGCAGAGATGGCTTCCTGGAAGTCCACAGGCACCTACGTTGACGCTGTTCCCCCTCCTGGGGCGAACATCGTCAGTGGCATGTGGATTTTCAGGGTGAAGCGGCCGCCGGGTTCTCCGCCTGTCTTCAAGGCGCGTTACGTGGCTCGTGGCTTCAGTCAGCGGCAGGGGGTTGACTACTTTCAGACCTTCTCCCCCACCCCAAAGATGACCACTCTTCGGGTTCTGGTGCACGTTGCTGCTCACCGTGACTACGAGCTCCACTCTCTCGACTTCAGCACAGCTTTCTTGCAGGGCAGCCTGCACGAGGAGATCTGGCTGCGTCGCCCACCTGGCTTCACTGGGTCTTTCCCTCCTGGTACCCAGTGGAGTCTTCGGCGTCCAGTCTACGGTCTCCGCCAGGCGCCACGTGAGTGGCACGACACACTGAGGACTACGCTCGCGGCACTTGGGTTTGCTCCTTCCACTGCCGACCCGTCGCTGTTTCTGCGCACCGACACCTCTCTGCCGCCGTTCTACATCCTCGTGTACGTCGACGACTTGGTCTTTGCCACAGCTGACACTGCTGGACTCGCCTACGTGAAGTCCGAGCTGCAGAAGAGACACACGTGCACTGACCTCGGTGAACTGCGCAGCTACCTTGGCTTGCAGATCACCCGGGACAGAGCACGCCGCACCATTACCCTGACTCAGTCACACATGGTGCAGCAGGTCCTTCAGCGCTTCGGCTTCACGTACTCCTCGCCTCAGGCCACTCCTCTGCCTACTCGCCACTCGCTCTCAGCTCTGCCTTCGGATGAGTCCGTAGAGTCGAGTGGCCCGTTTGCAGAGCTTGTTGGCTGCCTCATGTACCTGATGACCTGCACACGACCTGACCTCGCATACCCTCTTAGCATTCTTGCACGCTTTGTTGCTCCTGGGAGACACCGACCAGAGCACATGGCTGCTGCGAAGAGGGTGTTGCGCTACTTGTGCAGTACGTTGGGCATGGGGCTAGTGCTTGGAGGGCGCAGTCCAGTGGTCCTCACTGGGCACGCAGACGCTTCTTGGGCTGACGACCAGGCTACGCAGCGGTCGTCACAGGGTTACACCTTCAGCCTTGGTTCCGGCTCTGTCTCGTGGCGGGCTACCCGCTCGTCTTCTGTTCTCGGCTCCAGTTGTGAGGCTGAGATCTACGCTGGGGCTATGGCTGCACAGGAGTTACGCTGGCTCACCTACCTGCTGACCGACCTTGGAGAGCAGCCTCGTTCTCCTCCAGTCCTGTACGTAGACAACAAGGCCATGCTGGCCTTGTGTCGAGAGCAGCGACTGGAGCACAGAACGAAGCACATTGCTCTTCGCTACTTTCTTGCTCGTGAGCTACAGCAGCGTGGACAGCTGCGACTTGCGTACGTGGCCTCTGAGGCCAACATTGCTGATGTCTTCACCAAGGCACTTGCGCCTTGTGATCATCAGCGTTGCTGCACGCAGTTGGGTCTTGTGCCTGTCTTGCCTCACTTGCTCTCCTCTTGACCTTGCTTGTAACTTCGCATATATATACTCTTGCTCTTGTATATCTCTATATATGATCTTGCATGTGAACTGGCCTTGTGGCCTTTGAACTTGTGCTCGGAATGCGTGGTGACTTTGTGATCCACTCTGAGCTTTGCTTTGCTTTGCTTGACTGGTCTTGTGACCCCTTGTTCTCCCCCACTTTGCCTATGGGGGTGTGTCAGAACATATAGCTTACTTGTTTGTGTAGGCTATAGTGGGGTATCCCATAGGGGGTACAACACATTAGGGTTTCCTATTTGTATTCACTTCACTTCATAGTCATTCATTCTCGTTCTTTGTTTTCATAAGAGCATGTTCCCTATGTCGGAACATTATATAGCTTATACATTTGTGTAGGCTGTAGTGGGGTATCCCATAGGGGGTACAACCCAATTAGGGTTAGTACTTGTACCCACTTCATTCATAGTTCATTCATTCTCGTTTCAGTTTTCTCATGGTATCGAGCAGGTTCCCTCGTGGGAACTGTTCCTAGGGCCCTACTACTGCTTCCGCTGCTAATCGATCTGTCGGACGCCCTGTGGCGTGCGACCTATTTGGCGCGCGGCGATTTTCTTGCTGGCACGCGCCCCGAGGCGCGCGGCCCCGCTACCCCGTCGTGCCACCCTAGCGGCCGCATCGCGCCGCCCTAGCGGCCCCGATCCGCCGTCCTAGTGGCCCCGTCACCTACCCCTGCGGCCCAGGCGCCGCCTTTCCCGGCCCCGGCGCCACCTCGGCTAGCCCCGTCGCCTACCCCGGCGACCCCGCCGCCGCTCTTCCCGGCCCAGCCCCGCCTCTACTGGCCCTATCGCCTACCCCTGCAGCCCCGGCGCTACCCTTCCCGGCCCCGGCCCCACCTCTGCTGGCCTCGACGCCGCCCTTCCCAGCCCAGCCCCTGCTGGCCCCGTCGCCCGCCCTTCCCGGCACCGACCCCGCCTTCACCCAGCCCCGGCGGCGCCTCTGCTGGCCCCGTCGCCTACCCTGCGACCCCGGCGCCGCCTCTGCTGGCCCCTTCGCCACTCCACCCGGCCCCGCCGCCGTCCCCAAGCGGCCCCGCCGTCACCACCGAGTCGCCGGCGCCGCCGAGCTGCTGCCGAGCCGCCCGAGCCACCCGAGCCGCCCGAGCCGCAGCACCACCTGAGCCGCGCGAGCCGCCGAGTCGCCGAGCCGCAGTTGCCGCCGAGCCACCCGAGTCGCACGAGCCGCCGAGCCGCAGTTGCTGCCGTGCCGCCGTGCCGCCGAGCCGCCCGAGCCGCCCGTGCCGCCCGCACCGCCGAGTCGCCGAGTCACCGAGTCGTCGAGCCTGCTCTTCCCACCACTGGTGAGCCCCTGCCTTACTAGCGCCCTGTCTGCCGCCTGCTTGGCTGCCTCCCTTACTGCTGCTACTCCTGCTCCTGCTTCTACTGGCGGAGCCAAATGCAGCTCTAGCGACGCCCGCGCGTGTCTCTCACGCCCCAGCAGCTTCGTGAGTGGTACGCTCAGAGTAGAGGGTCTCTCAGTTCTGTTCGCTGCTCTTACGTGATTCGCACTGGTGCTCGTTCTGGTCAGCCTTGTGGGACGCCTAGTCACACACAGTCCTGCTGCTTCGCCCGTCTGAGCGACGCCTGGCGTACCGAGTTTGGTGACGACGCTGAGCTCCCCGACTGGGTGGAGTTGCTTAGGCAGAGGGTAGATATATTTGATCTTGACTATGATGCTATTCTCACTGCCATGTATGCATTGCCTACTAGTGCTGACCGTGCCGGTCACCTGTGTGTACCGCCTAACCGATGTATAGGGCCTGCTGCTCTAGCTGCTGGTGAGGCTGCAGCTCTGGGTGCTAGTGAGTCTCCTGCTCCAGGTACAGGTGCGGCTGCTGCTCTAGGTGCTAGTGAGTCTGCTTCCTCAGGTGCGGGAGAGTGTGCTCTCTCAGGTACCGCGTCAGCTCCGGCCTCTCACACCTTCACTCTTGACTCGGGGGCTTCCCGCTACTTCTTTCGAGACCGCACCACACTCACGCCGCTTGGTTGGCCCGTTGCAGTCTCTCTGGCAGACCCCTCTGGGGGTCCTGTCCTTGCTCACTTCTCCACTGTCCTCCCGTGTCCGGCGGCCCCCTCTGGCACCCTGTCTGGTCTTTACCTCCACTCGTTCTCTACGAACTTTGTGAGTGGTGCTGACCTACAGGATGCAGGGGTTCACCAGTTCACTCCTGCGAGTCAGCGGGTGACCCACTGCACGGACGCTCGGACAGGCCGACACCTGGCCACGTTTACACGTCGGCCGGGGTCGAGCCTGTATACACTGACCACTGCGTCTCCTCCAGTCACCGCGTCTGGTCAGGTAGCTGCGTCGGGTCAGGTGTTTGCTGCGGCGTCTAGGTCTGGTCTTGAGTCTGCCCCCTGCTCGTGTCGTCTCCTGTCTCACGAGACTCTCCTCTGGCACCACCGCCTTGGACACCCCTCCTTGCTTCGTCTCCAAAGCATGGCCTCCCGTGTCCTTGTCTCTGGTCTTCCCCGGTCCCTCCCTCCCCTTCCTCTAGGGCCTGGCCCTACCTGCGTCCCTTGTGTCGAGGGGCGGCAGCGGGCTGCCCCTCACTCCTCTCAGTTTCCTCCGACATAGGCCCCGCTGCAGACGCTTCACATGGACGTGTGGGGCCCAGCCCGCGTCCGTGGACAGGGTCACCAGCGCTACTTCCTTCTGGTGGTTGACGACTACTCGCGTTACACTACAGTCTTCCCCTTGCGCAGCAAGGGTGATTTCACTGAGGTGTTGATTGACTGGATCTGCGCAGCTCGTCTCCAGCTCAGGCGGAGCTTCAGCTCGGACTTTCCTGTTCTGCGTCTGCACTCTGACAGAGGCAGAGAGTTCTCCTCTGGCCTTCTGCGAGCCTACTGTCGTGCACAAGGCATCCGCCAGACCGTCACGCTTCCGGACTCTCCACAGCAAAATGGGATTGCTGAGCGCCGCATTGGCATGGTCATGGACGTCGCCCGTACGTCCATGATGCATGCAGCTGCCCCCCATTTTCAATGGCCGTTTGCGGTCCGGTACGCGGCGCATCAGATCAACCTTCAGCCCAGGGTCTCCATGCCGGAAACCTCCTCCGCCTTGCTGTGGACGGGGAAGGTTGGCGATGCGTCTGCGTTCCGTGTCTGGGGATCTCGGGCGTTTGTCCGCGACTTGTCTGCGGACAAGGTGTCCCTTCGTGCTGCTCCCTGCGTCTTCTTGGGTTTCCCCCCTGACGCACTAGGGTGGCAGTTCTACCACCCCACCTCTTGCCGTGTTCTGTCCTCCAAGGACGTCACGTTCGAAGAGTCGGTCCCCTACTACCGTCTCTTCCCCTACCGAACTCCGTCCCCTCCCCCCGCCACCACTCTTCCTTGTGCCAGGCCCCCCTCCGGTAGACCCCCTCCCCCCTCAGGGTCCTGCCCCTTCAGGTGTGTCCCAGGTAGACGCTGTTGAGCCTGTCAAGGTCGCTAGTGACTCTACTGCTGCTGACGGTGCTGAGCCTGGGGGTGCTGAGCTTGGGGGTACAGAGCCTAGGAGTGCTGAGCCTGGGGGTGCTGAGCCTGGGGGTGCTACGCCTGGGGGTGCTACGCCTGGAGGTGTTGAGCCTGGAGGTGCTGAGCCTGAGGGAGCTGGGCCTGCTCGTGTGGCGTCTGGCGGTGCTGTGCCTGGCGGTTCTCCGGGTGCTTCGTCTCGCCGGGAGCCACTCTCTCCACAGGAGATGCGTGAGTGGTTTGCCCGGCGCTGGAGGCGAGCTGCTGGAGCTGGGGGTGCTGCGGGTACTGGAGGTTCTGCTGCTGCTGAGGGTGCTTGTGCCGTGGGTCCCGGAGGTGCTCGTACTGGGAGTACTGGAGCTGCTGGGCCTGCGGGTACTTCTGGAGCTGGAGCTGCTGCGGGTGTTGGCGCGGAGGCTACTGCTGTCGATCCTGGAGGCGGTCCTGCTAGGGATGCTACTAGTGCTGCTGGAGGTACTGGAGCTGGAGGTGCTGCTGGTGCTGGTGCTGCCGCTGGGGGTACTGGTGCTGTCCCTGCTGTGTCTGGAGTCGTCGCGCGGCCTCGGCCGTACTTCGTTCCGCTCCTTCAGCAGGTTCTTGGTCTCGCGCCTTCTACTGATCCTCCTCCTCCCTTAGAGTGTCAACAGCCTGTCCCGTCACAGTTACAGTTACAGCCGGCCTCCCCACTGCCTGCTCCGTCTCCCTACTCTGGAGGTCTTGCTGAGCGTCGTGAGCCTGCGTCTCGCCCTGCGTCGCCTGTCCGTGCTGCTCGCACTAGTGGTCGCGGTTCGCGTTAGCGTCCTCCTCCTGTCCCTGGCACGCACCGGATGTCTCTACATCCGTCCACTGCTCCTTTGCATGCCCCTTTACCTTCTCCTCCTGAGTCTTCTCTTCCTGCTCTTGCCGACCCGGAGCCGGACTCTCTTCGTGCTGCCAGTCCTACTGTCACGCGTCTCCTTGCTACTGTTGTCACTGACCCTTCCTTTGTGTCCACTGCTGAGTCTGCCCTAGTTGCTGAGCTCATCGACTTTGCTGCTCGCTGTCGCCTAGACTACGCCGCCAGTCTTGTTGCAGAGTCTGAGTCAGTCTCACCTCCGTCCGTCGGGGGTGAGTGTGCCCTTAGCACGGACGTCCTTGACGACAGGCAGGAGGAGTTCCAGTGCTTCGCCGCTGCTTCACCTCATCTTGTGTCCGTACTGCTTACCCCTGAGGGAGACCCGGATGCACTTGACATCCCGACTCCGCGCTCTTACGCGGAGGCGATAGAGGGTCCCTACTCTTCTTAGTGGCAGGCGGCTATGGATGCAGAGATGGCTTCCTGGAAGTCCACAAGCACCTACGTTGACGCTGTCCCCCCTCCTAGGGCGAACATCGTCAGTGGCATGTGGATTTTCAGGGTGAAGCGGCCGTCGGGTTCTCCGCCTGTCTTCAAGGCGCGTTACGTGGCTCGTGGCTTCAGTCAGCGGCAGGGAGTTGACTACTTTCAGACCTTCTCCCTCACAC